GGACAACAGCAGGCTACTTAAAAAAGTTGGGCACACCATCTGGTCACCAATGCGTCCCCCGCCAGGGAGCAGAATTTTGAGGGAATGGCAAAAAAAAGGYAATAATCAAAAATGCACAAAAWATTAGGCACTAGCTCAACCCATTTGTTAGAGAGAGGCAAGGACATTAGACACACCTCCAGTCTGCCTTCTCATATTCACCCACAGTAGTGATGATCAAAGCCAAACACTCCCCACTCTGAGWACCCTGTGCTGTCAAACCGATTATAATATTATGAAAATATTTCTATTAGTAGCATAAAGTTAAACCATTTCATAACCGGAGGAGAAAGAGAAGCTAGTCTGAATATAAGCATTTCTTTGAGAAGTCAGAAAAACCCCAACAGATACAGACAAAAAAACCTGTTTCAGTCATTCACCAGATGATTGTTAGAATTACAGCCAATGCTTAAGCAATACAACACTGAGCTAGGAAAAGTCATCGTATGGTTGTTCTGCTTATGGAGTAGCCTTACKAGTTCACAAAGCATTCTATTTCTTTGTTACTCTAATTTTCAGAAGCTGCAATGTAGAACTGCAGTGTTAGTGAAAGAATATGCTCATCTTCACCAAGGCCTGGGATTTATATCGCAGAAATTCATCAAATTTACATCACTCCAAGTGTACCGTGTCCAAATCACCTAGTTGCTATTATGGACTTTTACATTTCTACCCAAGGAATGGTTGGGTTTWGAAGCTTGATCAACCAGAGTCTTTTACACTGAACTGCAACTAAACAAAGCAGAGTACCAGTTAAAGCCCAAGAACACATGTACTCAGCACAAATATGTGTTGATACAGTACAGTATGTATGTAGATATATATGTGTATATATATGCATATATATGTATATGTTACATTATAAGGAGAGTGCCATTCAGGGCTTCTCAAAGAAAGAATCCTTTTACCACCTCCAAGTCTTGCAACTTCAGCCCATTAAATTTCACACTAAGACAATGAGAATTCCAGTATTTTCCGTATTGAATGATTATTTCCATTTTAGCCAATTAACCATGCATAACCATGCAGGGCCAGCAGAAAGGAGCTTTAATTTTAACAGCACCAGTCCTGACACTTCAGATGGCCAAATTTTTATCACCAGATTGTTTTCCCTCTCTCTGCCCTGCAGTTGTGTATCACGGGCATCACTGTGAGTTTTCAGGACATCACAGAGTTGTATGACCTGATCAGTATCAATCTGCTCAGCTGATAAGAGAAAATGCCACAATTTATGAAATTTCAAACAGACAGTACAGATCCAACAAGGGCACAAGTTTACACTTTGCAGTACTGGCTGGAGTCRTATTGGTATAAATCACACCATGAGTCTGCCTTTTCATCCTCAGCCAGCCCACTTTAATTGTCATCATACATACAACTGAAGAGCTGGACAGTTTGGGAAATACTATTACTCACTGKTATCCTAAGCCCCAGTCCTTAAAAAAGTTCTGCTGTACAAATTTCACATACAGTTGAAAAAAAGTCCCATTTAAATCACTTTGAGCAGGCTTTGATACTTTTTAAGAAAGAAACAGGAGCAACAACAATTAAAACAAGCAATAAGTGTAACAGGCACTTAAGAACAAAGTAAATACTAGTTAGATGAGTGGGAGCTACTCACCTCCCTTGCCTTTCGTCTACCTAGAATTTAGTTATCCATCCCAGAGCAAACACTTGTGCTTCCTCCAGGCTTAAGGAAACAAAAGCTTCCTTCTGGAGGCTGCACTTACACAAATGGGTCAAACGAGTCTCTCTAGGGATGGCAGAGCCAAGGAGAGTCAAGGATTACCTGATACACAGGTGAGACAAGTCTCTCTCTCTCAATCTCTGCACCTTCCCCAAGGGGGGCAGTGGAGGGGAGATGCTGATCTCCTCTCCCCACTGACCAGCAATGTGAGGGATGGAATGAGACTCAATCAGGGCAAGTTCAGACTGGACAATGGAGAAAGGTTCTTCACTGGGAAGGTGGTTGGTCACTGGGACAGGCTCCCCAGGGACTGCCCTTGCTCTTGGTCATGGCACCAAGCCTGCCAGGGTTCAAGGAGCACCTGGGMTGCTCTGGATGACACTCATGACACTCTTAGCCATTGGGATTAGTTTTAGGTACTCCTGTAAGGACCAGGGCATTGGACTCTGTGATCATTCTGGATCCCTTTGAACTCGAGATACTCCGATTCTAAGCTGAAGTAACTCAACAGTCTCCTGGACACCAAACCAGCTGTGCTGTCTTCATGGGTGTGTGTTACCTGACCACAAACCTCCAAGTTCCTGCTGGGACTACAGGGATTCAACAAGGACTAGAATTGCTCTGTCAAGTCAGTGTACGTATTACACATACCCCAAAGCTGTACAGCTTTACAAGCTCATACAGACAAAACAGTAGAGCCCACCCAAGGGAAAATATTTATAATCTAGGGGGTTGTTGACTCTGGCATACCGTTTTAGAGCACGAAAGCAAGAAATATTGTCAAATTTATCCTCACTTCAGTATAAAATTATTTTATTTTAAAAGCTCTAAATACAGCAAGGCCCTAACTGACTTCTTTTTGTTTAAAATTGATCAGGAAAGTGCTATTGAAATACTATGAGGACTTTGGCATATAACTCCTTACGGGCAAGAGTTATTTTTTTAAACAATCAAGAAACTGGACTTTTTTAAATAGAGAAACAGTTCTCAGTCCCTAACTCTGGCAGCAAAACCGCCTCTATCCTTTCTTCACTCCACTGAGTACGAGTATTGCTGTGTCCCCTCAGGCACAGGGCTACCACATCTGAGCARATACAGGCTACACTCCTGGCCACTTCAAGGTTTATTTTGAACCCTTCTCACAAGGTCAGATTCACCTGAGCTGCATGCCAGTGACAGCAATACCATGCACTGGGCCAGTGTCACAGAACAGGATGAAAAACCACAGCCAACATGCACCTTCCAAAGCACCTTCYACAAAATAAACCAAGCAGCTCCTGGTACACAGGGGCACACCAGTCCCAYCTACTCACAAAGGCACCTGGAATTCATTCGGTTTTAGGAAACAGCTGTAACTATGTGGTCACAACCTGGAATCCTCAATGTCCATGGCCAGGAGCTCCTTCTCAYCTACACAGCCTGGTCCTCAACCAAGAAGCCTCAATTCCTTCTTTTTAGAAGGAGGAATCACCACGTCCCAAAGCCTAGGCATCCTGTTTGGAGAAACACTACAATTCATGGAGCATCCAGGACAGCCAGTTGAGCAAGTTCGTGCCTAAGTAGGCACTGCTACTCAATTAGCTGAGTTGGCTGAAGGTTTTCCCATTGTAACATGTTTTTTTCTATTCTGGAGTTATTTTCGGTGTAAAAAAAACAAAATCAGTGGGGATGGGTGGGGTTCTTTGCGCAAAACTTGATGCTTTTAATGAAAAAAAGGTTGCTTTTCTCAGTATTTTGCTGTTTATTTCTGCTGGGAAAACATGAAACACATAACTTTTGTCAGAGAAATATCAGTCCGTGTCTGTCCGAATTCCTCTAGTGTCAGTTGGGAGCTGTAACTCAAGGGCTCCATGGCCCCCTCTTTCCCTGGGCACCTCTCCAGCCCTCATGACGCATCCCCTGYTTGACTAACCCATGGTAGGAGCATCATGGGATCTGTAATTCAGCCAAAGAGCTCGGCCCCAAGGGAGGCATGGCGCGCAAGGCACTCGAATGACAATTTCTGARGGCTGCAACAGTAGCTCAAAACTGATGCTGCTTTAAGGGCCAAATGGATTTAATTAAATGTTTCCATTTCAAAAGGCTGGAACATTTTATTCAGTGTTTTCCAGCTGACAATTTCTCATTTTTTGAAAAACGTCTATTCCAGGAAAATGTTTGATATTTCAGCTTTCCAGTCAGTTCAGGATGAAATGAAATGTTCAAGAATCAGATTTTGATGGTATATAGACACCCAGTTTGGGAAACAGCCTTATTATTTAGCTGTCAAAAGTGAAATGGTTTCATCCATGCAAGAAAGGTGTGTTCCAGCTTGCCTTTGACTTCAGTGGAAGCCACTTTTTTAGTTTACTGGAGCCTGGACAGAGTCCCAAAAGACCAAGGGAGGGTGGAGCTGATCATAGWTACAGATACTGGAAACAGGAGTCAAGAGTAAAAGAGGGAGAATGTAAGAAGCAGCAACTAAGATGATCTGTTACCTGGACTTGATCAAAACTCAGTTTTACTTCAGTAACAGGATGAAAATCCACTAAGATTATAACATCTAATTCCCAGTTACAGTAAAGATAGCAGTTAATCACTACTTTGTAAGTAGAATAAATCCATAGTATGAATTTGTCACAAGCACTATAGTTTTCAATGTTCAAAACATTTCCTCAGAAAACCATCATATGCTCCATTCCAGGAGACTACTCTAAAGCTCAAGTTAATAATATGGTACTGAACTGCTCGCCTCAGGTTGTCTGTCCTCCCTCGAACCCCCCCAAATTTTTTTCTGTTGCATTGGTACTACAGAAGGTCTGTCAGGAGGGACTGAGGTCTCTAGACTTTGAGCACATCTGCAGGTGGAAAACAGCTAAGCATGAGCTTCCAGAGTTGACACTCTGGGTGAAGGCTGGGCACCAAATCCATCCTCTGCAATGGGATGTAGCCCTGAGCCTTCTACCTCAAAGAGTACAAGAGGAGCCCTGGGGCATCTACATCCATCAGCATCAGGGTGTGTGTTGAAAGCAAGAGAGCACTCAGAACTGTAAGTAAATCAATTCACCCAAACATGAAGGGTCAAAAGAATTGGGATTTGTTTGTCTTTCATTTCCCTTTAGTACAAGGAAGATGTTTCTAAGCAATAAGCAGAAACCTCTACAATTCTTAAGACTGAAGAGGAAGGGAGGGAGGAAGAAAAATGTACAAGCTTTGAGGATGTTCTCAGCTCCAGGTTAAAAAGAACAAAAGAACCAAAACAAAAACCAAACCAAAAAAAAAAAAAAACAAAAAAAACCAAAAACCAAACCCACCAAAATCACACACCACCAACAATTTCTATCTGTAAAAGCAAGTTTTTTTCTTAAGCTGTTTGGTAATTCTTAGTTCACAGGAGCATTTATCCAGAAGGTTCTTCATGTTTCCAGTCTAGGTTGTAGCAATCTCAGTGAGGCACTAAATTTTAGGCTGTTAAAGTCTCTCTGTGCAGCATGGTCATTTTAAAATGATGTGGTAGCCATCATTACTTTCAGCTGTAACAAAGAAATGCAAAGCATATTTTCATTGATTTTAGGAAATATCAGAGATACAGAACTTCAAACTTTCTTTCTAGGCAGTTTGCAATAGTTTATACACTTTCACAACCCACTCARAAAACCAATCCTGAACATCTAAGTGTAATAATTTACATAAAAMCCCCTACATATGGTCATGTTTTATYATTTTACWTKAAGGTTTTTTGCTCATYTATGTCAGYRATGTCAACRGATTTATGAATTTTTTGTAACAGTGTAACAGAGTAAAGCACTGATCAATCAGTCTATCAGTGTAGTCAACACCTTGACTTACAYTAGATTAGATTACTTATCTTTTCAGGATAACAGCATTGAATTTGTGATAACGTTTAGTGCAACTGCAAGCAGGAACTATCTTTAGAGCAACAGGTAATASCTGCAGCAATACACACCTTTTAATGTGCTGATAACAAAACATGATTCRTCTTGGAAGTTTTGCACCATCTGAAAAGGCAGAAAGAAAAAAGTCAAGACAACATATTTTTAGAAATTAAATTCACATTTCTTTCAGTGCCAGTATAGACTTAGAGGAGAAGCATCAAACAGCATTTGGTGTATAGTCCTACACAGTCCTGGGTAACCCAGCCCATGAGAATATTAAAGTACWTGATTAATTAAGGTCCTTGCAGCTGCTAGTGTCTTTAAGGGAAGCTCACACTAAATGCATTTGCCTGAAACTGATCTAGCTTATTCARCATTTTACCATCCTCTTTGCAGCTCTTGATTCTGAAGGTTCTTGTACCACTGCAACTATTYTGTTAAAGATCATGCTCTTTGTTGGTTTCAGTGAAGCTGTAATAGTTTTGACCGGTTGAAGGTATCCCTTCCCTAAAAATCCAACAGTGGCAATTGTAATTACATATTYAGCTAAATGATGGAGCTCAGCTGAACTTAAACTGTCATTTAAAGAATATCTGGAGATGGTAAACCCCAAGAAAATGAATCACTGCTGAATAAAGGAACCACTGCTGCAAAGCCACCTAAGCAGCTGTTTTGGCCAGACATCAGACAGATGTTGTGCTTGCAGGAATCATTTACCTGTTTGTGTTTTGTCAAGGAACAGGAATCGTAGTGAAGCTGTTACGAGAGGCAAGACAAATCATGGGAAGAAACACTAGAACCTAAATCTATTTGAGTTATTAATGAGAAACAACTAGATTTTTCAGAACAGATGCAGGTTCTAGTGACACCTTTAAATAGATTGAGATGATTTCAGATCCAATATGAAAAACCTATTTAAGGTTCATCCTTAGTCAATGCTTCTTCCCATCTTARAGTAGCTAGGTGGGACAGAAGARGTGAATTACCTTCAGGAGGTGTCTCATACRGCTGAAGYAAATGCTGGACACAACTTCAGAGGAGGAAGGTGTGACCAGACTCCTCCGATCAGCTCATGAAATCCAGCTCTGTAAAAAAGCCTTCTCCTGGCTACTCAATGTCATTCAAGTAGTGCATCTTTCCACTGTAAGCTCTCACATCCAAATACCCTTTTCAACTTAGAGTAATCTCCCCATTTTCTTTTGGGTTTAACATCCAGCCCTTGCTCCCTCAAATCAAACCTCCCTGGCCAGTTTGTGTGTTTCTGCCTAATGATGCATGAAGTACATTCACAGAGAGCCACTCTGTTGCCACTATAGTACTAGAACAAGAAAAAAATATTTAAAAAGCAATAGACCTTGTTAATAATTGACTTAAACAAATACTTAAAGCCTTATACCCAGGCTGGTTCATGCAATTCCCTTACTAAGATTTGCCTCCAAGCACTTTGCATCCGTAAAGCATCAAAGTTTCAGATTTAATCAGGCTGGAATAGCAAAGAGACTTCAGGAATAAGCATTACAGCCTTCAATTTAAGCTCCAGTTGAGACCTATGCTCTGCTTCATTTGTTTTAACAGTGCTTCTTATAAATGAAKCTCCTTAAGTGATTCTGGTGCATGAATGAGTAAGTAATTTAGTAGGGGCAAAAGAGGAAGAAGGGCAACTCACTATTAACCTGCAAGTTAATGGAATGGACTAAATTAAGGCATCATATAATGGGACACAAACAGTAGCAGAGATCAAAAATTACAGTGTGCATATAGTGTATATAGTGCCAGACACAGGGCCTGGAATCATGGGCCAAAATGTAAAACTAATTGCCCTAGGAGATTTTAAAACTTGCCCTCTTCAGGCAACTACCTATTTAATTTTAGAAGTCCTTACATTAGATCCTCACTTCAAAATTTGTGTAAGTAGCCAAAATGAAAAGAAATTCATAGAATTATTTAAGTTGGAAAAAACCTCTTAAGACCATCGTGCACAAACATTGACCTAGCACCAGCAAGTCCAACACTAAACCATGTCCCCARGTACCACAACTACACAACTTTTAAACACCCCCAGAGATGGTGACTCAACCACCTCCCTGAGCAGCCAGTTCCAATGCTTGYTAACCCTCTCAGTGAAYGAATTTKTCCTAATAYTCAATCTAAACTTTCCCTGATGCAACTTGAGGSCATTTCCWCTCACCCTGACACTTATTACTCGGGACAAGAGACTGAGCYCTACACTGCTACAACCYTTCAGRCAGTTGAAGAGAGCAACAAATGACSAATTTTGTAGTGTTTTGTTTTGCTTTAAAAAWCCAAACAAGAACCTCAAMATTTTTTACAAAGCTGAAGTCCTGAAACCACACCAAAAATCAATGCTGTGCATGGCTGATTCACTCCATTTACTTGAACTTCTTATGATTCTCTGTTGAAGACACATTCCATAATTTGGAAGATCATTCTAACTTCAGGAAGTCAGACAATTGTTACATCTCTGACAAAGATGAGATGTAACAATTTAACCCCCTTACCTCATTGCTCACTAATACATGGATCCCTGTGGGTCCCTGCCGGTAGATCCGATTTATCTGCTGTGGAGAAATGCTGTACAAGTTTGCAATCTTCTCCATTAATTCCAGCGTGGTCAATTCTTCCAAGAAGATTGCATGATACACTGCAACAAGTGGAAAGCAATTACAGAGCAGCAAATACAGATGGCACCAAGATGCTCAGCATCAGCAGCCAAATGGGTTTAAGACGAAGGTTCAAATGGAATAGACAAGCTTTGTATTTTAAAGCATCCCACAAATATCTGGCTCGATTATTTGCAGAAAAATACCCACTATTTGTATGCAGAAGGCAATTACAGCACACACAACTTTTACCTAGAAGAAAACATGAGGACTGATGACAACTTCCATCACATGGCACTAAAAAAGCYCTCTTATTAAGCTGCTAACACTTTTGGATAATCTACTTTTACTGATTTTGAAGTCTAAAAAAAAATTCAATCAAATAATAAAACACATGACCATGTCATACCAAAGCAGTATTTTATTAGAGGCCATTCACTGATCCCATAGGCACAGTCTAAAGCATACCATGTATAAATTAACTACATGGATGACTGTATTATTTTATAAATCTAATCCAAATYATAGCAACCAGGTAGGAAAGCTGTGCCTTCATTACTAAGTGCAAGATTAAAGGACAATCTCTATTCYTATTTGATTGCACATTGTGTCATGAGGGATGACAAGTTCCCAAGAGCTCTGAACTTGCAAGAACTAGAATCTCACTTTAAGATCCACAGACCTTTCATTTCCTGAATTTTTTCAAACAAGACATAAAAACTGTCGATGGAAGGGTGTTTTTTTAATGCTACTGTCCCTAGAACTAAACAGAGCTTTTGCTGTGGCATTCTGCAGATAACTTGTAGGCTGGGGCTGTCCCCCAGGCAGATGTGCCAGCTGGAGTCTGCAGCCCTGAAAGTATAATCAAAATTGGAAAACTGGGATAAACAGGACCTCTTCAAACACTCAGGACATTCAGTTGCCCCACACAGGAGCTCAGGCAGAAAGCAGGGAAGTGTTTAACAAAATCCCTACGTAAGAACTTACCACAAAGACTGCCATCTCCGTTTTCTCGTTTTTGGTGGAGATGGGACCTGTTTTGCTCTGGTTCTTGACAGACATAAATTGTCATCTTGGGCCTTACATTTCTATGGATTAATCAAAAACAGTAGTAAGTTATTTAGTAGATCTAAAATTGYTCCAAGTCAGCTACCAAACAGTAAGAGATGGGATGKYTCAGGCTCTACWTAAGTTACAAACTAAGGGATAGTCTTGATCTGGTGACTAGATGTCTTAGGATGTGTAGCAAGAGACCCCTGGGAGGTGATGTAGAGCACCTTCATSTGTTCAAGATCAGATAAGAATAAACAGTTTACAGCACTTGCCAAGCAGTTCATCATACCTGCCTCTACTGATTTAAATCCTGCTCACCTGTAGAATTTACAAGGTTATTGCCACAAAAGTAAATTTAGGACTCATTTGACGCTCTAGGGGTTTGGATTTTTAGTTTATTACCTCTGATGGAGATGCAACATAGGTTTTGTAGGCTGTGAATCTCATGAAATGGATAAAAGCTATCAGCTGGTAGCAAATAAACCACTGGAGATCCACATTATGCTGCTTTGTTTTGGCAACATTTCTGTGCTGTGCTTGGATTTGAATACCATTGTGATCTCCAGTCTCTGAGAGAACCTCTTGGAAGTATTGAAAGGAAGTCTGAATGCTACAGCTCCAGGATTAACTTCCAGTTAACACTGAAATTACCAAAGGATGRTGTCATAACAAAAAAAGAAGTAGGAAGGAAATAGTACAAACCTTCCTTTAATTGCATTAAAGAGCCGAATTCCATCAGCAGGCCCACAGATTTGAACAAAATCTTCTTTGGACATCTTCAGTAAGTCGGCACCTACATATTTCAAATTGATTTTTTTTCAGAAGTTAAAGAAATCTTAGCTTCCAAATTGTGTGCATGGGCAGCAGSAAAGCACAGGGGGAGAGAATCCACAGAGCTAAACCAGACAGATTTACACAGAGAAGTTGCAAATTCAGAGAGGTGTGCACTTCAAATCAATCATTGTGAAACAGAAAGCTGGAAGCTGCCAAAAGAGCAGTGCTGCACTGGAAAATATTCTAGCCAACTCAGAAACAAGCTAGATATTTCACACTGGCCATTAAATGACACAGTTTTCTGTAATTGTCACGTTCACTGCGTTATTTCTTCATGCTGCAAGTCAGAGAGAGTCTCCTCATGGTTTCAACACCTCTAACATTTGGCCCCTTTCACCATCTTACTGGTGTGTACAACTGCTTCATGGGAGTGTACACTGCTGGTGCTAGATGCTTCTTAAAGGGGCACAGGGACAGGATAAGAAGCAGCAGACAGAAGATGAAAGATGGGAAATGCTGAGTAGATATAAGAAAAAAACATTTTCACTGTGACAGCAATTAAGTACTTGAGGAGGATTTTAGGACAGACTATGGAATTTCCAACCTTGCAGATTCCAAAAGACAATGGCACAAGGCCCTGGACTTGCTTCAAGGTTGCACTTAATGAACTCAGGAAGTCCCTTCCATCTTAATTTATTCTCTTCCATCTTTACTTATTCTGTGTCTACAAACAGTTTTGACAAATGGAATTGATCTAACAACCAAAGAACAACCACACTGGATCAGACCAGGGTCTCATCAAAAGTGGCCAGCAGCAGATGCTACATGAGCTGCACTCACAGAAGAGAAAAAAAMCAAARTAATTGRACTGTTTAAACTCACCCGAAAAACTTGAGAAGAGTCTACAGAATGGAGAGAACCTATTACGATGAAGCCACTGCTGGGCATCTTGAATAGAAGCAGAAGGAAGGAGATGCTACATTGCAAAAAGAATAAGAAGGTCTTGAAATGAACTGTTCACCAGTGTCCTAAAAGAGAAAAGCACCACATTAACATGATCTCAAGTACTTACATCATTGCTGGGAGGCAGGAGTTCCATTTGGTGGGTTGGAGAACTGTTGCTAAAAGAAATTATATAAAATTGGAAGAGAAAAAAAAATACATTATTTTAAATTTTACATTGCAGGGTCCATCCTCTTCCCCCTCCTCTATTTGACTCAATTTTCATAAGTTACATCCAACTTGGCTTTTTTCTCTATCAGATTTTTTAAGGTGTCCAAAATCTGGAACAAGAATAAAAAACCTCATCTTTACCTAAGTCATTTGTTGGTCAGTTGAGGTCCTCCTCAACACTGAGAGAAAACTCACGGTTACTGATCTCTTTCAAGCTTTTCCATATGGGTGACTCACAAATGTGACATCCTCTAAGCAAAGAAATTGTAACCTACAGGGTGGCTAAACTCAAAATTTCTAAGAGCCAGAAATATCCTAATTAAGCCCACTGTCTAATAATAATTCTTCATAAAATTGAATAAAGGACCTTATAATTCAACCCTGGCGTTACCTTAAACACAGTATATTGCAATTTAACTATATTACAGAAAACTGTATTTCTACTAAATTCTCCTAAACACAGGACTTCTAAACTGTCAAGGATTTTACCCAAGAGTTAATAACCTACCACTGGAAGAAAATGCTCAGAAGATCTCTCTACTAACAAAAAATTTTATAATTTCAGTGTTTGTCCTTATTCATAGGCTGAGGGGATTCACTGAAAATTAGAAAATCAACTGATTAATAAGCTGTGTGGGAAGATRATAGGATGGCAGAGTCCTAACAAAAGAAAAAGAAAGGCCTATGCCAAATTCCTAAGGGAAAGTATGTAGCAGGAAAGACTGAGAAGWACTGAGGGACCCTGCAGCACCTTTCTGACACTAGTTATCATCTTGAGCATTTCAGGATCACTACAACTGTTTCTTTATGATGCCTATTTAATGAATTAAACATGTCTTCATTAGTCCTTTGTTCTCAAATGGCTTCTCAAAACCCAGGCTGTTTTGCCCCAAACAGAATTTYTTTACATCTCATTCACCTGGGCATTCAGCACCCCAAACTACTTCAAGACAGAAAGTAAGGAAGAAATAGCAACTCTGAAGAGRTGCTGAAAGCCTCTAACACACTTGTGAGAAGATACTGGGACTGCTGGTACAGGGCATGGTGTGTTCTCACCAGGGATTGCCCTGGAGACCCTCTGATGCTCACCTTCCAGCCACCAAACAAACAGTGCACATACAAACAGCACTCTGCATTACAGGCAATGCCCGGATGGAAGGCCTTAAAAGGCTTTTGGGAAATATTTTCCCCTTCCTAGAAGGGTGGTGGTCCTTAACCTATTCTTCCAGGGTATCAAATGCATGGACATACRAAGCTGATGCACACAAAGGCTCCCATATCAGCAGGAAAGATAAAGCATGTATTTGTTACATACCCATCTCCGAGGTTGAAGCTGTTGGGAGAACTGTTGTAGCTTGGAGATGGAGCATTGTTCATTTGATAAGGCACATCTGGCCAGGGAGAGCACTGTTGGAAGAAAGGCAGTGGGGAAACTTTCACAAGGATGGAAAGAAAGGATTCGATTCTCTTCTAATACCACATTCATGCTGTTGCCACGCCACTAACTTCAGCTCATCACTCCTGCTGGGAGGAGGAGATGGGCCATGGATTTTCTACACTGCTCTCCAAGCGGGCTGTCAGGGGGCCAGATTGATTCCAGTTGTGCATTCCACATTTCTTTCTCCCATTTCACAAAGCCTGTCCCCAAATAACACTGGGCCAAAGTGTGCACAGCTGTAAGTCAGAATAACGCCAGTAAGTCAACTCAGACCGAAGGCAGCAATGATACAGAAATACCCCTGGTCTCAATTATAAATCCCTAATTAAATGCAGGCAAGAGTGACAAATATGCTCCAGTGGCATTGCTTCAGGTTTATACCAGTGAAAGAGAAGAATCTGAACCAGCCTGCTGAAACCTCTGGCCATTAGCCAAACAGCTYGAGTCATAAATGGGTATTAAATGGAGAAAATTTAAGATAGACAGACACAAAGCTACTAAAAGCCTTCACAAATATAGGTCAGACTCCACATTCCATGACAGTAGTGTAAAACCAGAGAAACCCAGCTAGAATTGGTGACTCTGCTCTGAATTTGAGCCACTGTAATCAGCAGGAGAAATCTAGCCCTGTTGAACCCCCCACCACCAAGAGCTCAAGAAAATGCTCTGTAGTGGCCTTGTTTGCAATGATAAAAAGACAGCAAGTATAGCTCTGGAGCTTTATCATCTCCACAAACACTAGCAAATATTTTATCATCTCCACAAGCACTGGCAAATATTTAACTCTTTGGCAACCCATGCATTTCCCCATGCAATATGTCAAAGTGCATCAGAGCTCATAGGGAGAGTCTGGGATCTGCCAACTCAGTAGAATTAAGTCTGTCAATCAGAAAACATGCTGGTTGCTCCTGGCAACACAAGGAAAATTGAGTGGGAGGGACTGGATCTCACAAACAGGAAGCTGATTTAAATTACGAATAATTAACGTCATTTTTGGAAGTCCAGCAAGCTGCTCCAAAAAAAAAAAAAACAACAACTAAATCAAACAACAAGACATTCACATAGGGAGACTGAACAACGCTTTTAAATCCCTTTCTTGAGTCCTGTTGCTGAYTAATTCTGCAGCCTATGGTAAGCTTATACAAACATCTTAGAAATGGCAGGGAGGGGAAGAAACACATAAAACCCTACACCAGACACATCAGAATATAAGGCAGGTGATACTCCTACAGTACAACCCAAAACCTTCTCAGATTTTGAATGTAACAGCAGCTTCACAGGCACATTCAAAGAAAAACAGATTAAGAATTTAATCAGACAGTCTACTCATCTGTTTGAAGTGCCCCATCTCCAACATGAGCTTMTGCCAAGCAGTTCTGAAAAAAACACCTCCCTCATACAACTGGCATCTGAGGGCCATGACAAGTACCCAGGAGCACAGAGGAAATTGAGAAAATATTTTTTCTGAAGCTAGGCTGCTAAGGCTTGGTTTAGACTCCAAAATGTAAGAAACCATTGCATCTTTCATAAATTTCAACAGTGAGAGTWATTTCATAATTTTGCTCCACTCTCAGTTTCACTCAGATCTGAGCATACATGTCTTCACAAGACAATCTCCAGGGCTCAGATGTTGTTTTCTTTTAAATTTATCTCCCAACATGATGTAGCATGATGTGTCTAAAACACTTTACCTCTGTGAGAATAGTTGTCTCATAGGAAGGCTGATACTTCTCCTTCTCTTGGGTGGTCTTCTTTTCCATTTTTTCCCTGTCAGTCTTCTGTTTTCTGTCTGCTCCTTTAGGCTATAAGTACAAGCACAGGCTCTCCCTTATGCCAAGCATTACAAGTTTGGAGACAGAGGCCAACAGATTTAKCTAATCTGTTCACAAAAGTCTCCTTAAGATTTATGGGAATTCTACATATGAAACAAGACCACATCTGCATTTTCTAAACAAAAAAATTAATCAAGCATCTCTACTGTACATCCACCACTAATGCCTACTACAATTCTAGAACAGGCTGACCACAGTCCTGATATGTGATTGTAACAATTTCAGACCATGAGCCTCATCAGTTATGCACCTCAACTGGCATATGTACTATCTTTCCAGGAACAGGAAAGATGCTGCCCACAGGACCAAAACTGGAGCAGCAGATCCTTTGAGAAAACATGCCTCTGGAGAGTTTATTGTTAAGCAGCTATAGGTMTGCCATGCCCAGATTAGGAGCTTCAGAGATGCTTTCTCTCTGAATCTTTTTCTCCTCCAGGTATCATGGAGAYAAACGCTGCTGCAACAAAAACAAAAAAAAAAAAAGGTATTTAAGATCTCCACGATAAAATCTTGCTGTTCATGGARGACTCAATCAAAAGAAGCTGGAGATGCCATAATGTCTTGATTGTCTAGGAACACCAAAACACAGTGGATATCYTAAATCTCTCAGTATTTTTAAAATACTTGAGGCACAACAGACTGGCACAAGCCTTGGTGCAGCATTTCAACTGCAATTGCTGTGTAGGCCAGTGCTTATGCCACCTTGTGCATAGGGGTCCTGTTTAAGGTCTTAAGCATACCCAGTTAAAAATCTGTTCTTTTACTCAACTATTTACACCAAATCTGTGCATGTTCCTGTGGCTTAATCTAGTTGATGCGAAAGGCAAAACCACCTCATACCTTGAACACTTTGATCTGGCAGCTTGCAGAGTGCAAGTGTTCTGTGTATTCACCATTTTCATTCTGCTTAAAGGTGTCGATTTGCACCCGGAAGGGCACCCCTTTCTCTCCTCCATGTTTCCGTGGAGTAAATTCTGTGCTGATGCAATGCACCTGGCAAAACAGAAGCTGCGCTCATCTCTGGAGACGGTTGGAACCTGTACAAATCTGAATTTCAGATACTGCCTGAACATGAGGTTTGGCTCCTCACAAAAAACTAAGAGAGGCAGAAGAAGTCATATGTTTTCATTTCTGTTCCTTTGGACAAAATAATCAGGAAAACAAGCAGTTCAGAAAAAAACAGGGCATCAGAAAAAGCATCCTTTGATTTAAGTAAATACCTCATTCAGACTGAAAACAGACAGGTGATGCTCAGAATGAGAAATACTCATGAAAGAAGCAAGCAATCAAAACTAATAGGTTGTGAACAGTTTCCTCCAGAGAAAACCTATGCTTAGAAAGCTGCATCAGTATCTCAGTATATTTTTAAAGACAATCTTGGCAGTAGCAGGTAGTACTCCAACATTAACCAATGTAGCCAGCAAGCTGATTTAGTGAGTATCCTACRAATTAATTATACATGACTGTTACATGAATTTGTATGTTATCCTTAGCATCTTTCTCTCTTCTTTGCATATTGGCTATTTTAATTCCTCAGGTCTTTAAAAGGTTAACCACTGTATTTACCACAGAAATAAGATTTATCTCTTACCTGAATGAATGCTGAAGCTCTCTTTGAYGGATCCCAGAGAAATTCAACAGTGTTCAACTGGGTTGGGCTAGCCCTGGGATCCAAGATACCAACTGACAGCGGGATATCTGTAGAAGAAAAMACCTAAAATTTTAAAAATATTAAATTGAAGAAGAGAAAGCATTTCCATACAATCTCAAGACGTATGTAAAAAGTGAAGCTGCAAAAGAGATCTCTACATGGGACCTATAGTGCTAGATCTCCTTYCCACCCAAAGGCATACAGGATTCGTAAGACAGAAGAACACAAAAAACCTAAACACGCATGCAGACACTCCATACACCACTCATCTTCCCAACTCTGCAGAGGTGCCTCAAGGAAACAGCCTCACCTATATCAAGGATACGGTCCCCAGGCCGACTCCACCTCCAGCCCTCAAGCTGCTGATGCTCTGTGTACTGCAGGCGGCGGTCGTGGAAAACTACACGAATTATGCTCTGTTAAAAAAAGACAGCAATATGAACAACGTGATCCACAATCCTCTTTCGAGACAACTTTGGTTTTCCAGAGTAGAAGCAAAAGCTGATCTGTTATGTTTCTCACCCCCATTCATGAGGAGAATAGAGGGTCCACCTAAGAGACCCATTGCCATGTGTACCAAATTCCTAAGGGACTCCCTGAGAGAGAAACACATTTCCTCCTTCACAGGGCACATCTTAGAGGAGTAACACTGCCCTGTACAGCTTTCTGGGATACACTTTGGAAGCACTACAGCAACATCCACCTAATCTTAGGTGTCATGGCATGTAAACATCACTACACTGCCTCAACACCCAAAAAGGCTCATATGGGCCTCATATTTAATGTGTCTGTACCATGTCCCAACCCCAGTATATCCCATTCTGATTTGCAAATGTGGAAGAYAGCCCACCTGTCCCTGCACTGGTGGAGCTGACATGTCCAGACACCTTGGCAGTGGGAATTAAACTTGATTCCAGCTGTTAATAGCCAGTCATTGGATTTTCCCCAGAGYAGTTAAACAAGCGTAGAATAGGGAAGCTCTGTAACAGCAGGGGGACCTGCAATGGTGCAGCCATGCCAATAACTGGAGATATAAGGCTGGAATAAGRGCAATCCCCAGGGCAGAAAAGTCCTAAATACCCCTAACTAATATATCATTTTGTATATTCAGAGTGCTACATTTACAGTAGTTAATGATCCCTAACATCCCAGTTTCTCATGCCCACACTCCTGCTGGGGACTTCCTTATCAAATGAGTGAGCATTTTTTGCCAGTGAACCTGAGAAATGCCCAAATCAACCCCTAGCTTCAAGAAGCAAACAAGCCACAGTGGGAACACCTGCAAAATTGGAATCCCAATCCACATACTATCTGAAATGGGCCAAAAGACAAATAGGGAATGGCCTAAACTTGAACATTTGAAATCCAAACTGGAATCCAAATTTTGCAACTAGCTCCCACTTCTCAAAGGAAATCCTGAGGTAGAACAGCCAAGAATTGAAGGTTGGATCCAGAACCAGGGTCCGGACCAAAGTTTTTGAATTTGAACTGTTTTGGGAGCAGAGGAAACAACAGGAAAAAATCTCCCAAACCCACTGATCAAGCTTTATGCGTTCGTCATTATGCCCACTATCCAAACTGGAGCTATGCAGAATCTGCCTGGCAGAACAATGTAAACACCTGGGCCCTCCATGTAACAACCCAGGCATGTTGCTGGGATTCAGCATGGAGACAAGTCTGCCTCTCCACAGCTTTGACCACATTCACCACTGAACTTTGGGATTCCCCTGAACCCAATATTCACAGTGAAACTCTGGGGTCATGACCACAAACAGAATAAARGTTCCCCTGAAGCCCTGCAAAGCCAAGATGCATAGTCCCATGAAACTAGCACTTGACAACTCCATCAGCCCTGCTCCCATTAAAAACAATGGCAAAGCGTTTTCCATTGTCTCAGTGGGAGCAAGGTCAGGCCCTTCATTAAAGGCTGTAYGTAGGTAGCAGGAAGAAAAGAAATCTATATTTCTCCTTACCTTCACATATTTTGTGTTTAAATCTTGAAACTCTCCCAATTTCCTATTCTCAAGTAGACGGATTTCATAAGACTGACCTAGAGTTTAAGGAAACATTTCCAAGGTGTTTAATATGTTGTAGCAATGAGAGAGTCATGCTGGCATTTATGTGGCTGATAAAGCATACGTTTGATCAGGGAAAGCTTATTTTTGCTAACATAATGCATTTGCCCCAGTAATCGACAGGCACTAAAGCACAGCAGAAATCTGAGGGGAAGGTTTGCCTTTTGGCAGCTGAAAGCTCTCCATTAGGGCATCAATTATAGTTGTCTCCCGGGGCTGCTACAGTTTTCTGGTCACCCTCCAGAAAGTCACCAGGGTGTTCAAGGCAGTTGTCCCCCTGTGTCACATGGCTGTAACAGCACTGCCTTTGTCTGTCCCTTCTGCTAAAGCAATTCTGCCAAAGCAATGSTTGTGTGAAGGTGCACAACAGGTCCCGGCACCATTCTATAGTGGACGGCAACTGGGGAAAAATCTTGCTTTCTCCAGGGAGCAGTCAGGCCTGTAAGGTGTTTTGGTGAACCACAAAACCAAAATTTCATAAGGCCTGGAAAGTCACTGCCAAGGGCATAAATATTCCTTCAGATGCGTGTGGAGGCAGCAAGGGGCAAGGACCGGTTCTGGGAAGGGAATTCACACTCCACCACCCCCAACCACCCTCACATAAGGAATTCAGTCAATTCAACAGAATTCAGCTAACTGATTTATGAAATAACATCTCTCCAAGGCTGACAACAGACAAAGGAGACTGATGTCTCAATACCTTATGCACAAAAATGACCAAGACAGTACAAAAGCTCATTGTACTAAACCAMGTCTTTACAATAAACCTGCAGCCAGTACCAAGGCAGAATAGGATCATTAGGWTTAATGGAGCATATGTATACCTTATAGCTAGCTTTTCTTGCTCTCCTCCCTTTCCCTGAAAAATGCACACGGTATGACAAGGCAGACACTAACGAGGAGATGAGCTTGGATTTTCTAGCTCAACCAGAATTGACCTCAAAACTGGCCCTGCAGAAAAATGAAAAGCAGATCTCATGCTAAGCAGCTTCTACCCAGAGAGACAAAAAACAGCTACATTTTTGGATCTGGATTTAGAAATTGAAGACTTATGACAGCAGATGTGTCAGAAAGGCAGACTGCCTTTTGAGAATCCCACCCACATGAATACAGACCGTATCCACAGAGCACAGAGGTAATTGTGCTTACTCAGCTGGCTGGAAGATAAGGGGGGAAAAAAGGGTGTGGGGGGACGAGAGGGGCTATACTGAAGCCCTAAATGTTTGTACAACATTCCTACTGGTATTAGTAGGAGTTCTGCAAACAGGAAATGTCCCTTGAATCCAGCAAGTGACTTAGAGCATGGGGAGAGTGGAGAAAAAAACATATGAAGTACCAAAGTAAGCATGGTAACATGCATAGGTATTTACCCATCTCTTTGTACATAAATAAAACTAAATGACAACAGTGACCTGCCTTTAAAGACTGCTGGACAACAAATGTAATTTTGTAAACAACAGTCCTGAAACTGAGGTCTTCCAGGACTTTAACTCACAAAACTTTCTAATGTTTCCACTGATACATCTTAATATTTTTCACCTTACAAATTACAGAGGGTACATAATCAATACAGTTAAATTAACATAAAAAAGATCAGCATCAGGTTAACAAAATGGATTTTCTCTCAGAATCATAGAAAAGACACTTAAAACCATCAAGTGCAACCATTAACGTAGCAATGCCAAGTCCACCATTAAAACACRTCTCTAAGTGCCACATCTGCTGTACTACAGACTTGTATGTGCTGTGTATGTTTATCTATGTTGTACGAAGCACCTGGCTGCTCAATGGCTCTAGAGAGTGATACAGCTCCATCACCTTGTACCCATTCACACAGCCAAGCATCACTTGCACTTTCAGTTCACTCCCATGCAAATGTGAGGCTAATTAATCATTACAAAAAATTAATTTAGGTTTTGAGAGCAAGAGGCAGTAAAATAYATCTGTGACTGTATTCACATGATGGGGAGTAACAGGGACAGCTATGSAGGAAGGCAATGGTCAAACCAGAAGCACAGTCAACCATTCACCACATCTCAGGAATGAGCAGGTTGGGACCCCCTYGTGCACTAACTTTACGTTAGTGATACGTCCCCATTCTTTGGTCAGCCTGATCTGCTTATTTGCACTTACAATGACACAACAGGCATAAAAGAATCATCCAYGTTCCTTTCAAACTAGCACTCAAAAACTCTTTAGCACGCATCTCTGACCCCTTACATGGAGCAGGGACAGAACTGCAGCCCAGAAGGCAGTGGGCGCTACAGATCTCCACCTGACAGGAGTGATTCACCTTGGAGGGAGTCAGAAACAGATCCTGCAGACCAGCAAAAAAGAAACTGCAGTGTAGACAGAGTTAATATTAAACAGAAAGCCAAAGAGGAAATAAAATGCTTTGATGAAAGATATATGGGTCATCTGATGGAAGCCCTGGAACGCAGTTTATGCCATGAAAAACCTCAATCGACATGGTATTTTATGCTAACTGCTTTCCCCTTGAACTCTGAATGTTTAACTTGAGTTGCTACACAATTATCAAACAAGACTGCTCCCAGCCAAGCTTCAGAAAACATGAGGKTTTTTTTATCCCTCCCTGTGAAATTCTGTCAGTGAGAATTTGGTCCCAATTCCTCAAARTTTCTTTATATATCCATCTTCTGGTATTGACTTTTAATTTATTCTCCTTAAAACTTTCCAACAAATTCATTGCTTTGAGGGTTATGGTACTCAAAATTTATTAGTATGGACAGCATTCAGATGCTTCTACTTTTACAGGACCAAACTGCTTGGATTGTATTTTTACCTTGAAAAATACCTTCCAAACCTTGTTCACCCTGTATCTTCTCCCATCACTACCAGCAAAACTCCTGAAATGGTGAATTAGTCTCAGCCCTGCAATTATTACTGCAGGAAAAAAAAGGTCCTGAAGAATGACCACTTGAAATGTTGTTAAACAACATCTCTTGGTCACATATAGTGAATAACAGCAACCAAACCTGATGAAAGCTGAACTCCCCCTGGTGTCAAAGAGAGCAAAGAAGTCACACAAGGCTCTGATACACATATTTATGAATCCTGCCTCACTGACTCACCAGCACTAGCAGGCACACACTGACAATTTTCTGCTAAAACTACATCAGTAACAGATCATTCTTAGTCAGGTATCCAAATCTGTAAAGAAACATGTCTGTAAAATGTGAGTAAAATATTCATTATAGTATAGTTCCCAAGACAGACTACAATTAGCTAAGCCCAAAACAGAGCTGAAATACAGAGTTCCCCCATGCTGAGTTTTTCCATCTGTCTCAGATGGAAATACAGATTAATACAGGTCAGACTAATGCTTTCCAAGTTAATATTTGGTGGTAAAACTGGGAACAGGGGCAGAGGATACCAACACTGAGATTCTGCAGTGATTTGATTGAATGTCCCAGGTCCAAAACCAGGGCAAGTATCTTGTCCTCAGCTGACAAGRGTTCAACATCCACTGGGCTCAGATGGAAGTGCGAGCCTGAAAAAACAATTGTGGCCGTGGAGAACAGCAGTGCTGTTTTAGATCAGTCCCCTTTAGCAGGATGAGGGGGCTAAAGCCCAGCAAGTTGCTGAAACCCTTTTTCTACCATGCTCTCAACACTGGCCACAGCTGCACCACCAAAGRCAACACAGCTTTGAGATCTTATGTGGATATTAGTGGGTATTATTAATTCAAAGTCAGTGACCAGATGGTCCCCAGTCAGGTGTAATAGTGGACACACACAGGGGACCTAAAGCACCTCTGTCACCACCTGAAATGAAGGKGACACTTTGCAAGCAAATCCCCAGCACAGACAACGCCACAGCAGCCTCCTGCACATCTGTGTGACCCAGTACTCCCCTCACTCACTACAACCCTTCTTCCCTACCTCACACAGAGAACAGGACAGTAAAAAATACTCAGAAAACCACAGCAAATTCCTGAGATGCAGTTTGTCTCCCAGCTTCATTGAAAGCTTCAGGGGCACCAGGCGGGTGATGATATACTGTAATTTTTATTTTAAACAGACATTCCCTGGGCAACAGCAAATTTATGTAATCTCCTCCTTGGCTAGAATTTGAGCAAATGGCTTTACAAAGTAGTACCCAGCAAAGTAGTAACCGCCCAGTCCAGAGAGTTCCTGGTTTGTAATTCATGAAGCAATTCCACATATCTGAAGGAGGATTTATAGACTGCTTACGTCTTTTAACTTGCATTGTCTTTGATAATTAACACACATTAAATGTGGGCATGACCACTTAATGTGGGGACAGAACTGAAAGTCAAAAACTTACTACAGATGAAAACTATTTTAGTTCAATGCAGAAATGGTTCCACCTGCCAAAACATGCAAGTTTAACAAGCTTACTGATTTCCATGGAATTTAGTCAGCCATCAGAAATTTTAGGCAATTTATGATTACAAAATATTATCAACATTTCAAGCTCAAAGTTATATTTTGTTCAAATATTATTTACTACACAACCACAATATCCTGATTGCTTTTCTTTGTTTTGGTGTTACATTTCAAGGGCCACTTGCACTATGCATTTGTGGTTTTCTGCACAATACACCGACACGATACACTAATTTCCAATTAGGATGCTGATGTTCCAGGCTGATATGACTCAGGCCTTACTTAATCTAACAAAATAGCCTTTCCAGAAATTAAKTAAACCCTAACCTTTGACTAAGCAATATCCCCAACAAAAGCCCGTGGAAAGGGAAAAAAAAAAAAAACTGAGAGTCCTCTTTCTCAGAATGGATCCACACAGCACTAGACAGAACCAGCCTGGAAACTGTTTGATTATTAAGCCAGGCTGGCCAATAAAAATTCCATTTAGCAACTTTATATGGACATCCTAAAGAGYGCACAGATAAAGGCAAAGGAATGCTGACAGTCCAACGCACCTTGCAAAAGGAGGGGGAGGGGAAAAAAAAAGCAAGCGTTTATCATCCCAA